TGGTCATAATGTCTTAGCCACAGAAAAGAAACTTACACAACTACCCTCCTGAAATTCACACTGAGTAGGTATCCTGTGTGGTTCTTTACCATGTGAGTTGGACAGAGTGGGGCTGACTCCTGATGCTGGCCTTGTTCTGAGAGGACTCATATGCACCATCCCAAGCTGGTGGTTGCATCCCTAGCCCTCTGATAGATGGCCAGGCAGTCTCCCCCAGTCTGCTGGTCCCAACTGCTCATTCAGGGTCCAAGATGCAAGTGAACAGCCCCAGATTTGGGCCACTGTTAAAGGACTGCATAGTGCAGCTCTGTATTGGGCATAGTCTCTCAGGATTGATGCAGACCCTGGGGAAACCCACAGGAATTTGCAGGCGGAAACTTGGGTTGAGAAAGATTATGGGACACCCCACTGTGCTAGAAGAACCAGGGAGGGTATACATTAGCCTAGGGACTTCCCCAGCGTTCTCTGGTCACTGCAGGACAGCGTGGAGAGGGACAGTACAGATACCAATTCATGTCCAATGCCAAGTGAACCCTTGGACTTGGTCTTTGTGCTTTTAGAAACTAATTTTAAGGAGATGGTCCAGCCAGGTGCAAGTTGGTCAGCCAAAGAAGGTTGGAAACTGGGCAATTGACCAAATATCTGAGGAAATCACAGATATTGGTGCAATGAGGAACAATGGCCTTTCAAAATCACCTCTGATTTTTCACCGTGGACACACAAGCATTCTGTTGAATGGAAAAGGTATATGTCTCACCTGTGTAATGGCATCTATACTTGACTCTCTTGCAGCTAGGTGTGGCCATGTTACAGGAGGGAAGGAAGGAAAGAGTAAAGGGAGTGAGGGAGAGGCATAAGGAGGGGTGGGAGAAGGAAAGACCATATTACAACTTCCAGAAGTCCTTCTTCAAAGCCAAGGGGCATGTTCCTTTTTCATCCATCTTGCTGCTGGGACTCAGATGTAGTGGCTAGAGTTTTGGCTGCCCTCTGATGGTGAAGATCATCCCTCCAAAATCTACACCTCCTTCAGAAACAGTAAGGAGCCGTCATCTCTAGAGGCTTGTATGACAAAGCCACCTCTCATTCCATTTCTTAATTTTCTTGTGTGAAATCAAATTGTATCTTGTTTGGACCATTGCTCTTGGGGAGGTATCCTTGACTCACAGCTCAGCCTAACCCTGGTTGACATAGTAATTTATGCTGATTATTTATTTATTTATTGGTTTTTGAGACAAGGCTTCTCTGTAGCTTTTGGAGCCTGTCCCGGAACTCACTCTGTAGACCAGGCTGGCCTCAAACTCTCAAAGATTCACCTGTCTCTGCTTCTTGAGTACTAGGAATAAAGGTGTACACCAACACCACCTGGCCGTGATTATTGGAGATTTTAATTTTTTGTCCAATTTGAGGTTTTGAATATGTATCTTTCTTTTATATAACCTATAAAATACCAAAGTTTCATAGCAAATAGGAAAGACAGTCTGCAAACAGTACAGACCTTAAAGTGCATACTCGGCAAGCATGAGGACATGAATTTGAGTCTCAGAATCTACAAGAAAAGCCAGATGTGGTTACAAGCATGTGCTTGTAATCCCAGTACTGGAGAGGTAGAGACAGGAGGATCCCTGTGAGCTCCAGGCTAATGAGAGACACAGTGTCAAAATGCAAGTAGATGGTGTCCTGAAGAACAATACCCAAGATTGTACACACACACACACACACACAGAGAGGCACAGATACATACACACGTGCACACACAGATATACACACATGTGCACACACATGCACGCACACACACAGGCACACACACACTCATACACACACAGGTGGGGGATAAAGCACACCAGCTGACACTCAGCTGTTCTTGTATGTTCCCCCTGAGGTGTCCGCCATTCAATGCTTGTGACAGCCTAGCCTCGGAGCCCATGATCTCCGACACTACCCATCGTGGCCTCCCTGAGGTACATGGGCTCAGAAGTCCCTGGCTTCTCCCTTCCTATCTCTGAGGCTCCCACCTGGAGTGGCCTGGTGGGGTCTTTGGCCCAGAGGTCTCCCATCAGGCTAGCCAGGCTGAAAGGCATGGCAGCAAAAGGGGTGCCTGGCTTTTCCTCCTCTCATTTATTTTCTGCCTGATGTGAGGTTCACCAAGCATCAGGCATTGAGCTGAGCACTGGGGTGGGAAGGCAAGGAAGAAAAACAGGCTTGTGGGGTGATGGCTAGGAGTCAGCGAGGCTGTGCAGGATGTCAGAATGATGGTTAGCTTAGACATCAACTCACCACCACTGGGATCACCTGAGATGGGAGTCTTACTGGAAGATTATAGACCAACCCCGTGGGCGTGCCTGTGGACAACTGTCCTGATGATTGATTGATAAGACCCAGCCCATTGTGGGAGGCATCATTCCCTAACCAGGGAGGTCCTGAGCTGTGCTGGACAGGAGAAAGCTAGATAAGAGCAAACAGGCAACGCGGGTGCATTCGTTTCTCCCTGCTCTTGACTGTGGATGTGCTGTGACCACCGTGTCCAGATCCTTTTCTGGTGACTTCCCTGCAATCATGGATTATACCTGAAATTGTAAAGCAAATTAACCTTTTCTCTCCCGAGTCACTTTTGGCTAGGGGATTTGTCGCAGCAATAGAATGAAACTAAGACAGAGGATGAACTCAGTAGGGAGACAGGGAAGGCTTTCAGGAAGGACTGTGAAATCCTATGGACCGTGAGGAGGTGAGGCCTACTGGCCAGAACAAAGAACGTGCAAAGGCCTGGTGATGGGAAGGACTGGCTAAGCATCCATGACTCCATGTCCTGCACACCCCACTGGGAAGGTGGGTGTCTCACGCCCTCTCCTCTGACACTGAGAGACATACTGTCTGGGTACTGCTCCCCAGGACGTCTCAGGGAACAGCTCCAGGACAGGAGTGTCACACACAGACACACACACACACACACACACACACAGACACACACACACACACAAACCAGTAAGTCTCTCTCTGGATTTTGCAGCAGGGGAGAGAGGTAGTGTCAGATCCACGCCCTACACAGCATCACTATGGACAGACCGTCTGTGTGTTGGAGCCCTGTGGCTTGGGCTTGGGGTGAGCCATGGGCAGCTTGTGAGCTCTGATCCTGACTCTGGGCCTTCAGCTGTGTGTCCAACAAGTGTATTTTTCTCGAAGGACCCTAGCTCCAACTCTGCATTAACCGGGGACACTTCTTCTATGGTTGTTCAAGGGCTCCATGTGACACTTGGCTTGTGCCTAGTCTTCAGCACAGGGGTGAACAGCTGAGGAGCCACCATTGTTCCCTTGAACTGTGACTCTGACAACCCCACCATGAATCAGTGGTGTCTGCTGTTGGGGATGGGTCTTCCTGGCTTGCTGTCTTGGCCTGGCCAAAGAAGCCAAGAAGTCCAGTGTTCCTGCCCAGGCTTCTGGAATCCAGGTGTCTCCTCCAGTCTCCAGCACACCCCCCCACGCCAACCAGCTCCGGGTCTTCAGGGCCCACTTGAGTGTGATAAGGGCCCTCTCTTGTTGCTTTCCCCGAATTCTGTTTGTGTCTTGACACCTAACACTGGCTCCTGCCTTTCCCCATGTCATGGAATTGGCCTCTCCCAATTCCAAATGACCTTAGTCCCCCTGCAGGGTTGGAAGGGGTGTCGGCCTGTGTGGGTGGCAGCTGGTATGCGGACTCAAGGCCTTCGGTGCCTCTCAAAGGCCCGCGTGGCTTCTGGGCACTCCCGGTGGCCATGGTCTGACCGCTGGCCACCCTACTGTATGACCTCAGAGTCAAAACTCACAAGGACACTGGGAGGCGGGTCCTGACGTGAGCCTCACTTCATAGGAGGTGAAAGGGAGGCTTATGTGGGGTGACTCAAACCCAGGCTTAGGGAGGCCAAGAACAGCTCACCTGGTCTCTGCCCTCTACCATTGGGATCCCTCAGCAGGGCCATCAAAGGCCTGGGGTCTGTAAGCCTTCCACTCATACCCCCAACCTGAACAGTTACCAGTGTCCATGGGAAACAGGGCTCCATGGACGTCTCCCTTGCCTCTTCGGTACCCTTGGAGTGTCTGTCCTTGACACCACAGGGTCCCTGCACACCTGACACAACCCTGCCCTGATGAAATGAAGAAGAGGAAAGGGGGGGTCTGCAGCAATGGGTGCCTCCAGGACCCAGGAAGCCCGAGAATGGACAGAGCAGGAGACCCTCACAAGCCCCACAGACCTGTACCCTCAGATCCTCATGACAAGTTGGCTGCTCTGAGCTTCCTGACACCCTCGTGAGGACAGGGTGGGGTTGCTGTGCACTCTGGGCTGTGGGGAGAGAAAACCCGGAAAGCTATGCACCTGAGCCCCTCCGTGGGCTGGAGCCTTGAGGCTAGCAGGCAGTGTTTGGTAAGCAGAGCCCTTGGAGCCTTTGTTGCACCTCACCCGTGAGATATGGCCAGAGAGACTTTGGAGATGAAAGCCTTCCCATGTATTCCACAGCCATACCTAGCTTGGTAATGCCGGAAAGGTTATTGGTCTCTAAATATCATGTACCAGAGTAGGCAAGATGATATGACCAGTATGGCACTCTCCACTAACCCTGAGCAACAGAGTGACTCCTGGCATTTATCTAGTAGAGGGAAAAAACAGACTCCCCCTTTAATCTCCACATGAGTGCAATCACACAAGCATGAAGACACAACATACACATGCATGCACACACATACAAGCGCACACACATACACACACATGCACGCACACACACACAAACACACACACATGCACACATACACATACAAACACACGCACACACACAGAGACAAACACATAGAGATACACACACCCACTCAGACACATACACACACACACACACACACACACACACACACACACACAGAGTAAATGTAAAATAAAAAAAAATGTTGCTGGGGTGGCTTCTAACAGCTCTGTAAGGCCAGTCCAGCACTGACCCCAGCACCCACCCTCAGAACTGCCCCCTTTACTCACTGTGACAGTTCTGCTGCTGGCGTGCACGGTCACAGCAGATGGGCTGTGTTGTTCATGCCTCATCCCTCTGAGGAACTGCTGCTTTCTGTGCCGACTTCATGGAAGAGGAAACCGTGGCTCCGAGAGATTGAGTCATTTGCCTGCCGGCACAGCTGGGATCTGAGTCAAACCCCGTGACTCGGAGAGAGAGATTCTTGTCAACTCTCAGCTCTGTGCGGCTCCCAAACGGCCCAGCCTGGTGCCCTGCATGGGAGACAACCCAGCTGTCTCTCGGCAGTTGATGTGGTGTGCTCCCAGGATTTGGTACCAGCCAGCCAAGGGAATAACAGCCTGTCTTCACAGCCCCAATATGGGCACATCTGTAGACGTTCTGCGTGGAGAGCAGACGCCAGGCGACAATAGTACTTCGTGTGGCTCTGCTGGCAAGACCAGGAATGGGCAGAGCAGCTGTAATTAGGTAAGGCGGCAGTATGGCCACAGTGCCAGCGGGCACTACCTGGAGTGGAGGCCTGGCATCGGGGACACGTCCTCCTCTGGGTTGGTGGTGTGAGGGTGGGCATTCACATTTGCTCTTGAGCTGTGTAGGCAGCAGATTAGATGTGCCATCTAGTGCATCTAGGAGGCTGTCACCTGTGAGCTCGGTATTCACATCTGGTGCTGATGAAGCAGGTGGCCATTCCCTCTACCAGTGTGTATCATCCTGGCCTTTGGATGCCTAAGGAAGAAGGGAGAGAAACAGGATGGGTTTGTTCTATGTCACCTGCCCCGAGCATCCCTGGAGCTCAGATCTCCCTCCAGACATGCTCAGGAGTCCATGCTGGGGACTCCCTGGCTCTCTCGGCACCCCAGCCTGGGATCATCAGGTCAGGGGACTTCTCAGCCTCCATAGCCCACAACCCCGAGTGGAATCTTTCTGTATCTGAAGAAACCTGGCGGGCACAGCAGCGGTCCATGTGCGTGCTTGGAAAGCGCCACCAAAGGCCTCGTTCCCCAGCAAGGTATGAGCCCCGGAGCTTGTTCTGCCTTGCCCACATCATGTCTCACTCTGGGGAAAATGCAGACCTGACAGAGTCAAACCAAGGAGAAGGGGAAGAACCCATCTGCCTTAAGCATGTTCAGTCGGCACAAACTGTCGATCATCCCAGCCATTGCCATAAGATGGGGTGGTGGGGGAGGGTCAGAACAGTGAGGAGTCCAGAACCAACAGCAGCAAAAAGTAGGAGAACTTTGAATATTAAGTACCACGTTTAGAATAGCACCCCCTTCACAAAATCAACGCTGTAGGATCAATCCAAGACAGCAAAGAAGCCATCCTAAAAGCTACGGAGCATTCAAGAGGCGAGTTTCAGGTGTAATGAAGACTCACCACTAAGGTGTCTGCTACAGTTTTTACATTTGCAGAGTCAGCCCAATCCCAGTAAAAACTGCCGGCTAATTCTCAAGTGGTTCTGGAATGAGAAGACCTAACACGTTTTTCAAATTAGAAATAAGAGTAGGGGTAAGGAGATGGTTTCACAGTTAAAGCACTTGTCATAGGACAGCATGAGGATGGGAGCTTGGGTCCCAGAGCCCATTTAAATACCAGGTGGGTGTGACAGTCCACCTGCAGTTTCAGCCACAGAAGGTGGAGACAGGATCCCAGAGTAGGCCGGCTGCTGAGACCAGTGAGCTCAGGGTTTGATTGAGAGGCCTTGCCTCAGTGATCAGGTGGAAGAGTGATGGAGGATGACTCCCAACATCACACGCACGTAAACATCACACACATGAAGAACGGCAGCGTGCGTGTAGGGGAGGGTGAGGTTGGAGGACTGTGATGATTGCTAGTCAGCCTCAGGCGGCTGGCATAGCAGAGGTGATTTCTTGTTTGTGCGAGGAAGACCATAGGTCAGGGAAACAGAACCGGGATTCAGAGGCCAGTCTCTACACGCAGGCTGGTGGATTCTTGACAGAAGTGTCATGGCAGTGCAGTGGTAGGAAAACGCCAACTCTTTAAAGAAAAAATGTGGCTTGCATCAACTGGATTTCCGAACAGAAAGACCAGTGTCACATGACCTCATTTGGGGTTTCAAGGCTTCTTGGTGGGAGAAGTAACCATGTGTGGCCCTGTGCAAAGCTAAAATTTTCTAAACATAAAAAAGGAAAAGAAAAAAAAGACCAAATCACAGAAAATAAAACAGATCTTTACCAAAATCAAAACCCTCTGCTCTTTGAAAATGCTCTAAGGAAACAAGAGGGTGAACAGACCACAGTAGTCACACCAGTCCTCCCAGCGTCCAGGAGCCAGCAGAACATAGTAGTCACACCAGTCCTCCCAGCGCCCAGGAGCCAGCAGCGCACAGTAGTCACACCAGTCCTCCCAGTGCTCAGGAGCCAGCAGAACACAGTAGTCACACCAGTCCTCCCAGCGCCCAGGAGCCAGCAGCGCACAGTAGTCACACCAGTCTTCCCAGCGCCCAGGAATCAGGGTCAAGAGGATTCATGAATCCAGTTTTGAGGCCAACCTGGATTACATGAGACATCTCAAGACAAAAAACAAAAACAAAGAAAGAGGACAAAAAGCGGGCGGGTGCAGCTGTACACTGCCTGCCTCTGCGAAGGTACTCGGCTTCAGAGCGCACACAAAGCCGCTGCTCTTTCAATAAGTGCAGTATCTGCTGATGAAAATAGGGAAGGATAACATAGTTGTACAAACCCCCAACCATCCTTACTCCCCGCCCCCCGACACACAACCAGGGCCATCACAGCTCACAGATCTGAATGGGAACCACTGTGGGATGCAGCTGCCCTGGTCACAAGCAAGTTTAAAATAGCAATCCCAAGCAGGGCATGGTAGCACGCGCCTTTAATCTCAGCACTCAGAAGGCAGAAGCAGGCAAAACTCTGTGAGTTTGAAGCCAGCCTTGTCTATAGTGCGAGTTCCAGAGAAGCCAGGGATATAGAGGGAAACCCTGTCTTGAAAAAAAAAAAGAAAAAGAAAAAAGTAAATAGCGGTCCCTTAGAAAGTCAGGGCTGGGAAGGTAAAGTGTTTCTGGAACTAACATGAGGACCTGACCTGCATCCCCCACCCCAAGAACTCGTGTAAAGGTCAGATGCGTTGTAACCCCAGTGCCGGGCAGGCAGAGACTAGAGGATGTTTGGGGGCTTGCTGGTCTGCCAGACCAGCCAAATCAGTGAGATCAGGCCAGCGAGAAATCCTATCTCAAAAGGCAAGGTGGAGGGCTTAGAAAGATGGCCCAGTGGGGAAGAGCACTTGCAGTAGACTCAGGCTTAATTCTTAACATCCAACAGTGCTCACGACTATAACTCCTGTGTCTCCAGTCCTGGGAGACCCAATGTCCCCTTCTGATCTCCGTGGGCTCCAGGTATGCCTGTGGTGCATGCATCCACACAGGCAAAACACTTAACAAAAATAAATAAACTTTAAAAATAGGCCTGGTAGATGGCGTCTTGAGGAAGAGCACCCACGTTTGCCCTCTGGTCTCCACATGTGCACCCACACACACGCCAAGGTTAGAGAGACATCTGCCATGGGGCGCAAGAGAAAAGAAAATGGTGGCATGAAGATTTGGACATGAATGTTCACAGTAGCTTTGCAAGCAATGATCATGTCTGCAAGCCACCCAAATGCCAAGCAGCAGCGGGGTGAGCAAACACGGTCCCTTATCCACATGGGGGGCATCGTCTGCCCCCAGAAAGAGCACACACACTACTCCACTGGTATTCTTGAAAGCTGTATATGGTGTATGAAAATGCATTTTACCATTTTACAGAACTGCAGGAAATGTTCGCCAATCTGGTATGAAAGAAAGAAGAAAGCAGACCAAAGAGGCCCAAGACAATTTGCTGGAAGCGGCACTGGGGAGGGGCATAGGGACAGCATGACCTCGATAGGCTCAGGGCTCTCCTACATTCCCACCTGGCCAAGTCACAGAGCCGTGCACTCAGCAGGTGAGAGAATTCCACTACAGCATAACACCTCAATAAAATCAGATTAAAAATTCACTCAGCCATGCACCTGGGTTCCCTGAAAGCCATACTTTCAATACAAAGTAAATCAACATTAAAGTGGATGTCCAGGTTGGGTGTGGTCGTGCAGGTCTGTAAGACTGAGAGGATTTCAAGTTCAAGGCTAGCCCAGGCTACATCAGAATATCCTACCTCAAAAAGACAAGGGGTTGTGTGGAAACTTCAATTCAGTGGTAGAATGCCACTGTGTGCAAGGTTCTGTTGGGTTCCATAGCAGCACTATAGGTAAGGAGGTAAATATAAACTGTTAGGGGTATTCGATCATTTGGAATGACTAGCCCTATGGGCGTGGTTTTCTCTGGATATGTGGATAAAACTGAGAAGTGAGCTCATGTCAGCGCTCTCTCTCTCTCTCTCTCTCTCTCTCAATCTATATATCTCTCTATCTGTCTTTCTCGTGGCCGGAGCAGGAACAAGACAAGGCTGCCCTCGAACTCATGATGCTCCTGCCTCCTCTTCCTTCAGCAAATCCACATGCAGTGAGAAGTGAGAACCCACAAAGTCTGGTCAATAACTTATTAAGGAACGCAATGGAAAAACAGAATAACGAATACAGAACAAGGTAGAGCCACTGCTGACCCAGCTGCGGTTGTCCTGCCGTTCTGCCCACGGATGATAAGGACTGACTGCCGGGCTTGTTCCCCAGCTCCCTCCTCGGTTTTGGTTTTTGTTTTGTGTGTGTATGTGTTTGGTTTTGGTTTTTTGAGACAGGGTTTCTCTGTAACTTTGGAGCCTGTCCTGGAACTCACCTGGCTGGCCTCCTGAGTGTTGGGATTAAAAGCATGCACCACCACCACCAGGCTCCTTCTCAGTTTTATCAGGTCAAGTATCCAGAGAAAACCATGACCATGGAGCTAGTCACCCCAAATGTCATTGGCCGAAACAGGTCAAATTCCCATAACAATAACCGGTGTGTCTGGTCATGTGACTCTTGTGCCCTGAGCTCTCTCTGCTGTTCTCTGGATGAACCTGTCCATTACTCCGTTGACTTAGAACACAGAGGATCCTTCCAAGTCTGGCTTCCTCCATTTCTTCTAACCTCATCCATCTTGTGCCATGATGAGAAAGAGAGGGGTTCCCGATGTAGCCCCACAGCCTGGGGGCTTCAACAGCAGACACCCCACAACCCCCAGGTCCTGGAAGCTTGAAGTCCAAAACGGCGGTGTCACAATCTGTCTAGTGCTAAAGCCTCTCTCCTTGGCTTGGAGATATCTGCTCTCAGAGTACTCACATGGCCGTCTTCTGAGGGTCTGCGTCCTGACCTCCTTATGGCGACTCCAGTCAGATTAGATCCAGGCCTGCCCTGTTGTCTTTGTATGTTGTCCTGATCACCTCTGTCCTATGTGCAAATACAGTCTCTCCCAAGGCTCTGCGATCAGGACTGTACATGTAGACAGTGTTACAATTCGGTCCCAACACTTACTCTTCTGGGACTCCTTCCTGCTCCCATGAGCCCTTTAGACAGAGCTCTTCCATGGTCCCCAGTCCATCCAGACCTTAGGGGAATTCTGGGCACCCAGCTTAGGCACAAGGACTGGTGGACCCTAGCCTAGCTGATCAGGGTTGTGGGTAAGACCCAGGGATGCTCCAAACACATGAAGATAAGTACCAGGGGTAAATGAGTGAGTTTCTCAGCCTCTGCTCCTTCCTGGGTGGCAGAGGGCACCAGGACCCTTCACCCAGACTGCAGCGCTTGGCCACCAGCCCAGGGAGCTTTAGCTGAAAATATCTGGCTAAAGCGGCCCCTCAGGAAGCCCAAAATTGCTGTTTGTACCTTCCTGGGCTGGAAGCAGATCACAGGCTCCGCCGAGGAGTGGAGCAAGGCTGGCTGGCGAGAGGCCTCTGCCTGGCAGCGGGCCGCATTCCTGGGGTCTTGGAGATGTGCACTGGCACTTCCTGAGCCCTCCCAAGACCTCAGGGCGTCTGTCCCAGCCCAGCCCCTCCAGTGGGTGAGAATGCCGAAAGGGACTGGCAGCCCTGTGCTGAATCCTGGGTGACAACGGGCTCAGGGAAGCAAGACACGTGGCTTCCGGCCTGCCAAGTCACCCCAGCTCAGTGTCTTCTCTTCCTTTGCCTCTGCTGTGAGACAGGACAGGAGACAGTGGATGCCATGGATTTTCAAGGAGCTTGCCTGAAGCCAGCAATGCCATGCCCTCTTCAGTAACCAGGGCCTTGCTTGGAGCAATGAAAGTGGCCAGATGTTCCTGGGTGTGAGCCCCACTCCAAACAGTAAACACATGTGACTTACAGCTTTGGAGGCCAGTATAGAGTGTGGGCTTCAGGGTAGAGCCACTGTGAAGGGACGCAGGAAAATGGCCAGGACCTCACCTTGTGTCTGCCCCTTCACGTCGTGTTGTATCACATAGAAAGTGGGAGCACAAAGATCTCACAGTGCCAGGCCTGGAGTGAAGAGACCCTCGTGGTCCTGGCAGCAGCTGCTGCATGCAGACAGGCTCCCAGGGGACATTATTCTAGTGCCCTGTTCACTCCGGCCCGAACACACCGGTACCCTGAGAGACACATCAGAGCAACCAACTGAGCCATAGTGTGTGTGTGTATGTTTGTGTGTGCGTGTGTGTGTGTGTGCGTGCGTGCGTGCGTGTGTGTGTGTGCGCGTGCGTGTGTGTGTGTGATGCAGGTGGCAATGATGGCCCTCTTAAACCAGTGCCTGGAGACCCTGGTGGCCCTCACAGTATTGAAGGACTTTGCTGTTACATTCCTGTGGCCTCGGATGATCACAGACTGGGTGACTTAGGACAAAAGACGTGGCCATTCGAGGTTTCGGGCCCAAAGCCAAAGTCATGGTGTGAGTGTGCCTGTTCCAGCAGGAGGCTCCACGGTAATCCTTCTTCCTCTTCAGGCTCCAAGTGGCTCCAGACAGCCCTGTATTTGTGGCTGTGTCACCCCAGAACCTGCCCCACATCACCTCCCTTCTACTGTGAATGAGCCCCTTGCTTCTCCCATAAAGGCAGTTTCTAGAGGCATTGGAGCCTTCTTGATGAATTCAGAGTGTCCTTACCTGAAGGCCCTTCACCTACCCATGTCTGTAAAAAGACAATTTTCCACTTAAGGTTCCATCTATAGGTTCTGAGGTCCAAACATGGATATGCACTTGGGGAGTCACCCTTGAGTATACCTTATGTATGAGAAGGTTGCCTGGGGGGTGAGGAAGAGGGACAAGGCAGGAGGTTTGAGCTCTGATCTGACTTGGGGTTCCCCATCCAGACAGTCTGGGATCACTATGGGTACCAAGGTAACCCACACACTAGAGGGGCACTTTGGAACTTTCCAGGAGGCAAACCAAAGCAGAAGTCCCCAAAGATGGCAGGGCCTACCTGGCTGCCATGTGGCAGGTGCCCACCAACACTGGTTCCCAGTGCTTCCTGTGGGTGGAACAAGAGGCCACAACAGTGAAAGAGTTGGAGACTCCTGGCACCTTAAGCCTTAGGGTGGCCCTAGGACAGGACACTTGGCCCCTCGAGAATCAGTTTCCCTCCGTGACACCAAGACACAGGCTGCTAGGAAACGTGGACTGTGTCTAGCCTTGAGGTGCAGATCAGCCACGACAGGTGTGGGAATTGGGGCCTGCAGCAGAGCCCAAGAGCTCCCATTCCCACCTCAGGCCCTGTTCTAAGGACCCACTAACTTGTGCACAGACTCTAAAAAAAAAGTTCTCTCTCCACATCATGAAATGTGACTTCTCTTTGTAACTAAACAATTGAAAGATAGCACGGCAGAAGCTGCAGTCTGTGGGTCTCTGTGCAGTGATTAACACCCTGGCTGGGTCGGTCCAATACACCACACTTCCTAGACAGAAACACTCCCTGTTGTAAAAAGGAAAGGCTGTGTGTCAGATGACCTGGGTGTCAGGTAGGTCTACTGTGTCTGACCTGGCAGCCTGGCCCAGAGTTACAACTGACTCCTTCAAAGTGGACTCCAGGGCTCTTCCAGGCACAGCCTCTTGGCCCAGGGAACATCGCAGGTGAGGGGAGCCTGTGACTTGACTGTGCCAATTTCACCCCAACAAAGCCATTTGAAAATTAAAAGGAGGATTGGCAAGATTGTTCAACAGTCAAGCACTTGGCCTGCAGCGTGAAGACCAGAGTTCAGATCCCCAGGCAGAAATGTATGGTTGGAAGTGACTGCCTCAGCGACGGGGTGGGAGAACGATGGGGAGAGACTCACTACGTCATCCTCAGGCTTCCACATGCATGCCCATGTGCATGCACACATGCGTACACTCATACACACAGGTCCACACACACATGAAAACTAAATAAATAAAGAACAAATAAAGAAGAGTAAATAAAAAGCAGTAAAGGCACGGAAGCTTTCTCTTCCAAAGAGGCCTGGCTACAGATGATCTTGATAAAACACAGAGGGCCTTGTCACAAGAGATGCTCAGTCGCTAGCTCTGCATCCACACAGCTGCCTTCTGGGTCTTTTGCATGAGACAAGCCTCTTCTTCCAGGAGGGCAGCTTCCAGCTCTCCGTCTTGAAGCCACAGGGACAAGCAGAGATGGAGGACAGAAAGAGACCATGGAGTGTGTCTGGTCCCCGTGCTGCCTGGGCTGGCCACACCTGTTCCCTGAACCAGGTAGGCCTCCTCTGTTCAAACCAGGAGAGGTGGGCGAGGGCTCAGATGCCCTGATTTTTAGAAGGAGTCAAAGGCTCTGTAACCACAGGTTGGGGCTACGCAAAGTCTAAGAAGTCAGCAGCGCAGTGGCCGGTATTTTGTCCTGAGGTAGCCAGCCCACTGTTGTACCCATGTACAGCATGGAGAGAGGCCCATGTGGATCAGGATAACAGGGATCCCAAGTCCAATTTAGTTACTCAGAGCCACATGTTGGGCATGTCACTCCCTCCTCTGTGCCTCAGTTTCCTCCTTTACAGCAAAGAACAGGAAGATATGGGAAGGCTGGGCCTCTTCCCCAGGTGGGCATGGCAGAGCTGGCTCGTGGGAATGGGCCCTGGTTACCCTTCTTTCCAGGACATGGGGGACCTGAGACCAGAGTGTGCTGCCAACCCACGGGAGCCACAGGTCAAGCCTGCGGGCATCGGACTGGCTGCCGCTCAGCAGGCACTTTCCCAGAAGCCAATGTGGGAGGCGGCCTGGAATCCAACGTCCTAGAAGCAGGCACAGGATGTGCCAGGGGTGACACAGCCCTTGGGGTATATGCCCCAGAAGGCAGGGCAGTGGGTGACCCACTGTCCTGGTTTTCCCAAGCAGCAGTTCCCACCATGGGGGCTTTCGGTGTCAAAACCAACCAGGAAAGTCCCTGGCAAGCCACATAGTCACCTTAACAAAGCCACTGCCTTTTCACCACTTCCTTCCCTCTCTATTTCCTCTTCTTTTTTAAAAATTAGTTTTATTTATGAGTGTGTGCACATGCACATGTGTGTAGGTATCTTCAGAGTCCAGAAGAGGGCATCAGGGCCTCTGAGCAGGAGTTGCAGGTGATAGTGAGCCACCGAAGGTCGCCTGTATACAACATCAGAACTAAAGACAGCTGAGTCTCTTCCTCTGGGTACAACATGACCACATCACTGCCATCATGGAGCAGAGATAACCTTGGCTTTATAGTCATGGTGACAGAAGTAAGTAAAACAATTCAGCAACAGCTAGTACCACACCAAGCAACAGTAAAGGGGTGCTGCATGCTTGATGGCCAGAGTGACCTCAAATTCTAACGTGTTGATAATCTGAGGTATTTCTGGCAGATGTGCTGCATCTCATGGCTTAGATCTGAACAAACAGCATGCCCTGCCTGCACTGCATATGGCCTCATAACATGAATCACCAGTGGATGCATCATGCCACGAATCACCAGTAAAGGCTTCTCAAGACTCAGAATCAAGATTTGCCTGTCCTGAACATAAAAATACATGTTTTTACTGTATATATGAAGTTTTCTGCTCTAAGAGAAACATTATGGTTTAATTAATATTTTCCTAAGTTTGAGAGTTTATCAAATTAGTTTAACTTTGAACTATGTTGTGTTAGACAAACAAGCATATCCCTCTAAGCAATGTGCAAGTTCTAGGACAGCCAAGGCTACTTGGAGAAACCTTGTCTTGAAAAGTCAAAACAACAACACCAAAATTATCTTATTTCTATTTGTGTATATACGTGTATGCCTGGATAGGTGTATGTGCACATGAGTGCAGTGCCCTCAGAAGCCAGAAGAGGGCAGTGGACACCCTGGAGCTACAAATATGAGGGGCCTGGCCTGGTGTGGGTGCTAGGATTCAAACTCAGGTCCTCTGAAGAGAAGTATTTATTCTTTACTGCTGACTCAACTCTCTGGTCCTAAATTTCTTATTTATTAATAACAAATTTTATTTTTACACCTAGTTGATACTTGAAAGGCATAAGTGTTAGTTTGATCCAGAGGAGTCACAAGTAGAAAGGACTTCTTAGTCCTGTATGGTGGCAGTCGTGTGCTGCTAACACTCCCGACAGAAGTAGTGGGGAGAGGTCCAAGGGACCTCACCTGGGGACCACCTAGAGGCATGCGGCCCAGGGAGCGGTTGGAGCATATGGAAGGTGGACAGTTACTGGAAGGGGGAGTCCATCTGTACAGCTTCTGGGCAGTCATTATCCTTGCTGGGGTGGGATTTTCAGTGATGCAGCTGTCTGAGGACGATATTCCTATTAGGAACCCTAGTAAACTCACTGACTCACCATGCCGACTCGGTGGGATCAGTACCAGGATCTATCTTTGGTGCGGCATCTTCAGTGGGTAGGCATTCATTCATTCATCCTCCAAGGAAAAGCCCCAACAGAGATATCTGTCATGAAGGGTCAGGAATCAGGCTTGACCAGCTTGGGGCACATAAAGCTATGGGCAACATGGAAGCAGCCATTGCACTCATCATCCAGGAAGGTTCTGGAACATCTTGGTGGCCATCAAGGCCAAGCTATCATTTCAGTGGCAAGAACAGAAGGCACATACCTCAGGAGGTGTGGGGAGTGGGCCGGCTGGGTCTCTCGGGTTCCCTCTGAGGCGAGGGTGACCATCAGGAGACGTCTTTCTCCCTCTCCTGCCATCCTGCATGGCTTGAATTGTCTAGAATAAGACTTTGGGAAATGAGCAGAACCTGTCCTGAGCAGCGCAGTTTCCCACTGAATCCCATCAGGGGCTCCAGGGCCACGGCGAGGGGCCTGGAGCTGGGTCAGTCCCAGTCTGTCCCTGGCAAAGAGGAGGCCAAGGAGCCAGATTTGGGTCTGACTGGACAAGCATCTTTTGTCCTCAAACTGAGAAGTCAGCCCTGCGGTAAGTTTTGCTTTCTTGAGAAGGTTCTGTGATCTTAGGAGCTGGAGGAGTTTATTGGGAACTGATGGAGAGAACTCTAGTGTGCAAGCACACGGGTCGAGCTCACTCCCAGAGGTTGCTATGTGGCTTGTGTAACTCAGAGCTTCAGGGTGATAAATGATGTTGTCTTCAGGCACAGCTGGATCCAGGCACTACAACAAAGCCACTGGGTTCTCTCTGCAACTGTTCCCCTGGCTGTCTTCATCCATATTTCTTTCCCTCTCCGTGTCTTCCTTCAGTTGTCTGTGTCTCTGCTGCTCCTGGTGTCATCAGGCACAGACAGGCACCCTTCCCTGGGTAAGATAGGTCACAGTGAGCACCCTTGACTCTTGAGCCAAGTGACAGCACCCCCTGCTGGCTGGGTAGAAAAGTCACAGGAAGAGCTCTTTGGTCCAGTCCATGTCACATGCTTACCCTGTGGCCGTGGTCAGAGCAGACGGGTCTTCAGACAGACAGCCCCTCCAAACCACATTAGGGGGACCAGAAAAGGCACATGGTTCTTCAAAGGAAAAGATGTTACCATTGGGGTGGTCATGGCCAGTGCCCCCCAAAACCACAGAAGCCACAATCTACAGCAGTGGCCAGGGGCAGCACCCAGAGATCTTCCAGCTAGCCCAAGTCTCACTGTGATCCCCAGCCTGTCCAGAAGGAGGCCAACACCATACCCTGCAGTGATGAGGAGATGTAGACCAGAGAGAGCAAGTCTCCCAGGTAACCAGGTGGAGCAAATGGGCCCACAGCTCAGAGCTCCCATTTACTGTTTTACCCTCAGATCAGGTGCAAAATGCATCTCAGCCTCCATTAGGGGAACCGGCTACTGCCACTTCCACCACTAGTACTGCCACCACCATCACCATTACCAGCATCACTACCACCACCTTTACCGTCACCACTTACCACCATTACCGCCACACCTCCACCACCTATCACCACCATCACTATCATTACTACCACTAGCAGCACCACCATCATTACCCTCACTGTCCCCACTACCATTGCCATCACCAGCATCATCACCATTGGCTCTTCACCCCCCCCCATCGACCTCCTATGTCATATCTGCCACTAATATCCTGTCTCACCACATCAATGGTCACCACCTACCGTCACTGCCACAACTCGCACCTTCCTAACGCTCTCACCATTAAAAAAAAATAATAATAACCCTAAGATTCACATCACAGCGCAACCAGCCCCAGTCTTTCTTTCTGACAGGCAGCTAGTTACAGGGGTACAATGTACAGCTACACATGCAACTAAAAGAGGGTACAGCAGAACACTCCCAGCACCCGAAACTCCATTCCCCTGGAGAAGGTGCAGCGATCCAAGAGGTCAAGAGATGGACCAGGACAATCCAGGTGATGGAAGAGCTGGGGTTCCGGTCCTGGGTACTGATCCACAGCCTGCTTTGTGCTCCCCTCTAGGCTCTGGGTTTACCTGCTTTCCCAGCAGTCTCTCTGGCTCCACCGATGGCTACTGAGTCTGGCATCCAGCTGCTCAAAGACCAGGAAGTCACCCTTCTTCCCTGACCCCACCACAGCCAAGTCACAAGCCAGCCCTGCATTCTCTGCCTCACAGTGAGACAGTGAGACATGGCTAAGCCCTGAGTGATTGTCCCTGTCCCATATCCTGTTGTCATCTCAGATTTCAGCTCCCTTTTCTGATTCTGTCTAACATGCATGGACCTTTTATTAACGAATGAGCCCAACTTCATTCCTGCCTCAGGACCTTCCTGTCTGTTGTTCTTAAATGTTCCCCAGACCTTCACACAGCTGGTCGCTTCTCGTTCGGGCCTTAGTAGAACTACGGCAGCCCCAGCTCAGGCACCCCATGCAATCCTCTAACTGAGGCATCCCAGACTGGCCATTCTATCACACCTTCAAGCCTTGGTCACTCTGAATACATTGTATTTATATACACATTTTAACTTCTCAACTACATTCCAAAAGCTGTGCCAGACTGTGCCTTGCTCCCATCCCCTGCTCCTGGTGGCAGCCCCAGTCCCTTACACAGTTTCCTACAGAGACACACTGGAAGACACTGATCAGTGACTTCATTTGAGTGGATCTGCTCAGTATCCCAACTCCAAATTCTGATTCTCTTTCTTAACATTCTAGTTAATGACCTGCTGCTGATCATTCTGCCGTCCCTCTGTCCACCCGTCAGTCATGCAGCCGTCTGACGTTTTGTTTTCATCCTCTGCCCATCCATCTTTGTGTCCATCCCTGCTCTGCACCCACCCTCTATCTGTGTAGTCTCACACCTCCACACCCACCCATCCCCCATCTCTGTGTGCACCCACTGTCTATTCTTCCATTCAACCCACGCCTGGCCATCCTTCTATCCAACCAACATTCACCTACCCAGCCACTTCCCCATACTTCCTTCCATCCATATACATGTCCAACTAGGATCTTCCCATCCACCAGTCTCCCATCTTCCCATCCATCCATTCACTTACTCATTCATTCATTCATTCATTCATTCATCTGCCCAACAACCAATCTGCCTACTGACCCATCCATCCATGCAACAAATGCCTTCCCATCTACTCATCCATCTTTCCATTCACCCACACATCCATCTGACCCCAGCCTTGACCTCCTTTGCATCTTTTCTCCATGCCATGAGCTCCTCCAAGCAGGAACTACACCACCCTCAAGGGAAGACCAGACCATGTCCTAAGAGGCTGTCTCTGCTCTTAGATAGGTCCACACATTCCTAGGCCACTGAGAGATTAGAAAAGATTGTGTACCACCCTGAAAAGTATCTGATGTTATAAAGTTCATGATGGGGTCACGAGGGCCCCAGGTAGAGTCTGATCTGTATGCTAAGGCAAGAAACAGAGTCAGGTGGAACTGGGGGTGGAAAAGAGTCCTCCTGGAGGAGGGAGGGCAGGGCTGGTCTCCAAGGAGATGGAGGAAGCATGGCCTGAGAGGTCTGCTGTAGAGATGGAAGTGAGTTCAGTATGAGTGGGGGCTGCTAGAAGGAAAACTCATGGTCAGGACCCAGTGGACTCCTACTCCCCCAAGGTCTAGTCTCATTTGCCCCATGTTGAGAAGGCATCTCTAAACTACCCACTCTCATTCCAGACAGTTAATAAGAGTAACAGCCAAGGCAAGACTCATGCTGAATGCCCTTTGACATTACCTTATCCAATATTACAACAGTTCATGACTTATCTACTTCACCACTGCTTTTAAAATGATAGCCAGAGACTTCGAATGAATCACTGGGATCCACAACAGTTGGCCCATATCTTCCCAGTTTCCAGCCTTCATTGAAACATCATGATTTATCTTCTGTCAGCTGCTCTCCTTTAAACACATACACACTGGGGGTGCCACAGTGGGACAAGGACAGTTTGAAGATTTTTGATTATCTCAAGCCCATTAGAGGATGGATGGATGAAGGGATGGATAGATGGGTGGATGGATGAAGGGATGGATGGATGGGTGGATGGATGAAGGGATGGATGGATGGGTGGATGGATGAAGGGATGGGTGGATGGGTGGATGGATGAAGGGATGGGTGGATGGATGGATGGATGGATGGATGGATGAAGGGATGGGTGGATGATGTATATATGTATGGCTAGAAGATAGAAGTATGAGTTGAATGAATGGATAGTATGTGAGTATGGATAGAATGGATGAATATAGATGATCAATAGATGAATGATGGATGAATGGATGATAGATGAGTGGATGGATAGATAGTAGATGATGGATGGGTGGATGGATGGATGGATGAAGGGATGGATGGATGATATAGACAATGGATGTATGAAGGGATACATGATAAATGGATGGGTGGATGGATGTCATAGATGATGGATGGATAGATGGCAGATGACAACTGAGTATATAGCTGATGAATGGGTGACTAGGTGACAAATGGGTAAGTTGTCACACTCATGCCTCATCATGGGGTGGTGGCTTTTGTTGGTGACTCAGTAGGTGAAAGTGTTCTTTTGCTATATGGAGGAGCTAAGACACTAGAGGTCCAACCTCTCACCCTTCCCCGTGCACGGTCCTCTCTCCTCCACGGCCCTCTGCAGGTAGTCCTCACACCTCACCAGACTGAGGGGCTCTACTTTCGGGGAGGACCCTCACTACTCCACCCGCTAGCAGATGCCACTGGCCTTCCTCCCACTGCCACAGCTGTCCACCCTTACAAAGCTCGAACTGTTCTATGAGGGCATGCCAGCTGGAACGAGGCACTTCCTGTCTGACGAGACCTTGTGCACAGAGCCTGCAGGCAGCTGTCAGCTCAGGACATGCAGCCGGATCTAGAGGCTGTTGGGGCCAGCGCCCTCCTGAGTCCCTCACCAGAGGTTTGCCTAAGCCTGACCTTCAGGCCTCAGACGCAGAGCGGGACCCTGATGCTCTCCTTATCTTTTGGAAAGTCTGTCCCTGTGGGAGGCACATTGTCAGCAGCCTTGTTGGGGACTGGGGACAAGTGGGATCTTCTGGTCCGGGTGGCAGCCATCAGTGACTGAGACAAAGACAGGAAGAAAGGTCAGAGCATACGCCGGGATAAAGGCCACTGTCTACAACGTGAGAGGCCAGGCATAAGCCAGTCTCAGGAAGAGGCTGCTGAGGGTCCTCTGGGTGTCTCGGGTCACCATCTGCCTCTGAAGCCTTCCACATCCCCTTGTCAACCATCCCCCAGCTGCTGCTCAAGCACCTGTGGCATGCCAGGTTCAGAGACACAGTCAGTCCCAAGCCACCTTCCTGGAGGCTGCATTCCCACAACCCAGCCTGTCACCCTATCCGGACCCCAGGCCTGGCATTGCTCCTGGCTCCTGGCTCCAGTCCTTTCTCAAAGGCTCTAATTCCATCCTGGGAGGAGCGATTAGAATGAAACTATAGGTTGTTTTTCTGTCTTGCCCAGGCTAGGCCTATTTAATAACTTAATTAAATAAGCAGAATTGTAATTATGATGTTAATGTTTCCTTTCTGTAATGCCGCTCATTCCGCTGGAAGCAACTTCTCTGAGGAATGGGGCCTCCCTGGCCCCTGGCAGACAGCTCTGAGGTTCCAGGCTGGTGTGCTGGGGCCTTCCTACCTGGCCTGGCTGCATCAGGAACCTGCTGGCTATGGGAGAAGCCCAGCAGGCCAATGGGAACCCAGTCAGGTAGAAGCCAGGCTGTCTCCCCTGCCTGTTTATAGGGAGCTTAAAGCACACCGTGGAAATGACTTGAAGCTCCTAATTGCCCTTTTCCTTCCTCCCACTTCTTGCCATTGACAGTTGGCTTTGAATTACTCATTCAGTAATTCACCCTACACAGAGAAGGAAGGAGGAGGCTTGAGGTGGGAACCAGTTTCCCCACATGGGCCAGGCTAGACATGCAGACCGCCCTGACTTTTCTGAAGCGCTCCAGGGTCCCATGTTAGGAGAATCTGGACTCCCTGACCAGCAGGTGTACCATGGTCTTCAAGTCCTGACAAATGGGAAGGGAAGATTCTCCAGTGACACAGGGGTATCTGGCTCGCAGGAGGCAGTCAGGACTTACAGATTTTTTTTTCCAAGACTCCTTGCACCAAAGCCCACAATCTCCCAGCCCCTGCTTTCTCTGCTTAGGACAATGCAGAGCGCCGAGCTGACTGCCAGGTCCCCCGTATTGCAGAGCAATGACATCCCCTGGGTGGTTTGTTTGAGTTTCCAGGTCCAGAGAAGTAGCAGCTCACTAAGTTTCCCAGAGGATTATGGGATGTGAATAGAGTGAGCCATGAAAAAGCCCTGCAGAGACCAGGACCACCCCATCTGTCCTTTCTGTGGTGGCTGGGTAGGCTTTGGGACGAGACAGACGTAGGTAGCTTCAGTCATGGGTGACCATGCCCTTAAGAAAGCCACCAGATTTTATGACCTTTGTGTGTCCTACTGTAAAATGGATGTGTAGCGCCCAGAACTGTTCAGAACACGAGACAGGCCAGAGGCGGGGAAGCCACAAGAGTCCTTAACAAGTGGCAGAGAGACTGGGGACATAAAGTCTTAATCCTGGGAGGGACAGAGGAAAGGAGTGCTGCAGGTCAGGAGAGACCCTCTTTGGACAACATGGCTGCGGCCTGGGGTGGGGATAGGGCTCTGTGGGCCCTCTCTTCACCCACTCCCTCACCAGCTAGGACTAGCAGCTAGCTCAGCACTCTTAGCCTTACCCACGCCTGGGGTCTGCCTGTGCCTTCCTGGATGTGTGCATTCAAATGAGTCAACAAGCCTCCACATCAATAGACCTCCCAGATGGTCCACAGGGATAGAAGATGACTTAGTTTGCAGCCATTGTAACCCAAAGCCTGGGACACGGCTGGAGACCATCAGGTGTCACCACATGTGACTAGGTCTCCTTCATCCCAAGTTTGGTGCCAGTCCGAGATGGTCCTGGACTTTACTGGTTTTGTTGGGGACGTGGAGTTAGGAAATTCACTAAAGAACTGCAGGGTGGCGTGGCGGTGGTGGCCCACACCTTTAATCTCAGCACTTGGGAGGCAGAGGCAAGCAGATATCTGAGTCTGAGGCCAGCTTGGTCTACAGAGCAAGTTCCAGGACAAATAGAGCTACACAGAGAAAGCCTGTCTCGAAAAACAACAGCAATAACAGCAAAAAAAAACCAAAATAAACAAAAGAATAAACAAAAGTCCTGTAGGGTGGCTGAGCAGGCAGTTGGGGACAGAGGACAGACCAAATCTAGGAGACTCGGCTGCTTCCACCCACATCAACACACAGAAGCACACAGAGCTTTTGGCAGAGCTGGCATGAGGCCCTGGTCCCTGCTGCCCATGCCTAGTCCCAGGCTCCTCCCAAACCCTTGTGGTTTTCCAGGAGGATCCAAAGCAGACTGGAGTTGGTAAGGAATGTTCTCTGCAGCCCAAACGGTGTCAGCTGGCTTCCTCTTGACTCATGGGTAGGAATCCAAAATCGATACATTCTTTTCTAGTGAAAAATAATGGCTGGCCTGCCTCTGCCACCAACACTGTGAAATCAGACGCATCACAGAGAGGACCCTTGGGAAGCCCTGTCCTCCGCTGGTTGCTTAGAGCAGAAGGCACCGGCAGCCCTCCCTCCGCAGTGACAGCAACAGTTACAGGTGGAAAACCTACCACCAACTCTTGCTGCTCTAGACGCCCTTCTGGAGGGCCCCTGCCTTTCCTGTGTAGTAACTGTATGCACATGGAACCCCCAGATCTTCTGCAATCAAGATTTACCTTGAATCAGGAGTCACTACTCTGCTAGAGAGGTGGCTCAGCGGTTAAGAACACTGGTTGTTCTCCCACAGGACCAGGTACAAGTCCCAGCATCCACATGGCGGCGAACAGTTGTCTGTAACTCCAGTTCCAGGGGACCCAACACCCTCACCCAGGCATACATGCAGGTAAAACACCAATGTATATCAAATTTTTTTAAAAAAAATTTTGCCTGGCAGTGATGGCACACGCCTTTAATCCCAGCTTTCGGGAGGCAGAGGTGGGCAGATCCCTGTGAGTTTGAGGCCAATCTGGTCTACAGAGTGAGTTCCAGGACAGGCAGGACTGTTACACAGAGAAACCCTGTCTCAAACAAACAAGAGCCACTGCCAGCAGTTCATGCTCCAGGCTGACTCCTGCAGTGTTCCAAGCCACTTGTTAGTGACCCCAACAGTCCACCTCTTCAGCACCTCATCTCAGAGTTTCCTCAGCTGCAGCTTCCGAGGATCTAAGGGGACCTGGTCACCAAGCTCAGTGACCGAGTCTGCCCTGGACCTCATGGTGCACCTCCAAGTTCTGCTCCGTCCCCAGGTCTCTCCACGTCCTCCTCCATCTCCAAGTCTCCTTTCACAAGTGAAGAGATTTCTCTCAAAGAGGACGCTTCCTGCCCCTACTGGCTTCCTAGTGGTCTTCATGCTGGACCCAAGGCTTGTGAGATCCCAACCATGCCTCGATGTCCCACAGACCCTCCGTGCCCCACCCTGCACCCTGCACCCCGCAGCTGTCCACTTGCACAGAATGTCTGAATGTTATGATCGTCTTCCATCTCCCACCCTGGGGCTGGAGGCAGGGACCTTGGTCACAAAGAGCCTGGTCCCAGCTCTAGGGAAGTCACACAAGCAGAATGTGGGTGACACTCTAACCCATGGGAGACATTGCAGCCTTGGTTCAGCATGTACCTGTTGACCTCCTAGGGCAGGCCAAGGGTGGTCGCAAGTGAGCAGAGACCAACGTCCCCATAGCCATAGCAGGTGGTTGGTGGACATATGCAACAGTCAGCAGCATGTCAGCCAGCACTACTACAAGACATCAGGCAGGGCAGGGACACCCGCAGCGGGCCATCCCTGAGTGCGCCGGAGAGAGCCTCAGAGGAAACTACAGTTGTGTCTACAGCACATGCAAAAGCGCCCCAGTTTGAGCGCCAGCAGAGAGGCCGTGGTGACTGCGGCCAGAGAACAAGAGGAGGACCGAGAAAGGGGAGACTGAGACAAGGAGGTGACGTCTACTTCTGGACATCACCTGGGCTCATCAGACTTGGCAAGCTGCTGGCCTCACAAGGACTGTCTTCCTGTGCCATCTGACACCAATCCTGGGGGAAACCTTGCTAGTTAAGGAGATGAAGAACAACCGTGGGCACTGCTTGGAGAGACAAAGGAACCCAGGTATCATGCAACATACAGAGAGGTGCATGGAGGCCTAGAACCTAGAGCTAGGTAAGATGTGGCTATATTGAATGAATACCGAGGAGGCAGCCTAGGCAGGGAGTACAGAATGTCCTCCCTTAAAATGGCTTAGTCCTTCATGACAGGGCCAAGGACATTCTGGAGACAAAGTTGGAGGAATATAATGAGTCATTTTTCTTTTTGCTCCAGTGAGCTGGGGAGACAATGTACCCCAAGTCTCTACTGAGGCCTAATGGAGGAAGAGATCTCATCCATTCATCCCTGGGCCATGGATGTGTGGCCCAGCAATGGTCATAGATCTGCCAGACAGAAAAAGGCTCCCCATCCCAGGAGGCCATGCCGTCTAGCTATCTGCCTACTCCAGATCCGTGGCTGAGGCTGCATACCCCACTGCCCAAGGCTATTCTAGGGATGTGGCCACAGCGGATGGACACTATGAGTGAAGGAATGTGTGGTAGGAAATGACAGTAGTGACTCACTGTGACTCAGCCTGGTGCCTGCCAGGGCCCTCTGGCAGCCCTGGTCCATCTTCTTCACGACAGAGCCTGAGTGGAGCTCTTATGCCCCTGCCACTTCTGGCCTCCATCCCTCACCTGCAGAGTCACGGTAGGCCCGGCGACCTCTGTCCTGTCTTTTTTGTGTCCTGATGTTTGGGGTGTGGGAACAGGAGTCGTGTGGCAGGGTCTAGAACTGAGCCTGGGAACGGAAGGAGGAGTAAGCTGTAGAAGCCTTTGTCCATTTTCCTCGGAAACCCATCTCACCCTGCAAGAATTCATGTTCCTGACTGGGAAAACGAGGCTGGAGCAGAGAGGGGAAAATGAAAATCCAAGCCCATGTTCTAGCTTGGTTCTGTTGGTAGAAGACATAAGCTATGCATGATAAAATTATGTCCATGAGGTCCTCAGCTTCTCTTCCAGAATCATCTCACATAGCCCAAGCCCATGCCTAAAATATCCCAAGGGCTATCAAATCATCCACGTACCCACCTACCCATCCATCTGTCGTTCTAGCCAGCCATCAACTACCAATCCATCTCTCCAGCCATCTGTCCATTAATCCACACATTCATCCATTACCTATCTATCCACCCATATACACACCAATCCATCTGCCCACCCATCCATATTTCTATCTACCCATTCACCCACCCATCCATTTATCTCTCTCTCCATCATCTATCTACCACTGATACAGCCATCGCTCATTAACCCACCCACTCACATACCTATTTGCTCATCCGTTCATCCACCTATCCATCCATACCTTCACCTAACTTCTTTTATATGGTTCACTCATTCATGAACTTATTTATTCTTCCACTTGTCCATTGATCATTCATCTATCCATTCATCCACCCATCCATCCATCCATCAGCTTTAGTAACTTACATGACCTGGGGCTTTTGGGCCTCTGAAATCCACCATACTCTTATCCCCTCTCCAGCCACCAGGCCCTGTTCCTTCCAGTCAGAACAGTGACTCAGACAAATACAGCCCATGATATTCCAGAGTTCATAGTCTCCAAGGAAGACAGGAGCTGTATCCAGAAAACCTGAGCCTATTATTCACCTCCCCTTAAATCATTGTGATGCCCTTATCCTATTCCTATGGCTGCTAGACTTCATTCTCATCTGTAGCAGAGACAGGGGCGACCTGGTGACCACTATCTTCCCACAACTGACTCAGGGAGGACTGCTATGTGAAGGGGCTTGCCAGGCAAGTAGGAGAATGTATAGTGTTTGCTACTTCTAGCTTGGATGGAGAGTATTCTCCCAGGACTCTGGAGCATTCTGTGGTCCTCGGTTTCAGGGACTAAGGAATTCTTGCTTGATCTGTGCTTGGAGAGCCTAGGTGTTCTGCTTTGCCTTATGCAGCCACAAGGGATGGCATTCTTCCTCTCTTATGTCTTTATAATCCTGATGACATTCAACTTTGGTTGCAGTTAAAGGGACCAGGCCTCCTGGGATTGATCAAGTCCATGCATCAGTTATGACTGGTCTGGGAGGAAACTGGGAGGTCACTGGGGACTAGGCTACCTCCAGACACCTGATGCCAGACACCTGATGCATGAACACGCCTTGCTTCCAGAGTCTCAGTTTTCCCAGCTGCAGAAGCAGGAAGACTGCCTTCTTAGGGGTGGAATGAGATGGAGATGTAACTATCGAAAGTGACAATGACAGTCAATGGAAATGACAGTGTGACAGACAAGGCCAGAGTCATTTGGAAGAGGTCTGTGGTGTTCATAAGACTGTCCCCATGCATCCACTCTGGCGGTGCCAAAGACAAGAGACACTGACACCTCCTTCCACAACCGTTGGGTGAAGTCTGAGAATCAATCTCATATTGAATTTTTCTGTTTTTTGTTTTGTTTGTTTGTTTTTAAAAATTGTGTGTGCGTGTATGTGTGTGTGCATGTGCATATGTGTGTGTGCATGTGTGTGTGCACGCACGTGCATGTGTGTGTGCATGCATATGTGTGCACTTGCGTGCATGTGTGCATGTGGGGTGTGTGTGTGTGTGTGTGTGTGTGTGTGCGCGCGCGCGCGCACGCGCGCGCTGTAAGAATGCAGTGCCCACAGAGGTCAGAAAAGGTGTCAGATGGAGTTACAGGAGTCACCGGAGACTGTAAAGTGCACATGGTGGGAAGTGGGATCCAAACTCGGGTTTTCTGGAACAGCAGCAGTGCTCTTAACTGCTCAGCCATCTCTCCAGCCCTGGATTTTTCCTCTTAATTGCTATTCCCATCATTCTGTGAAACAGAAAAAGCTCACAGAAGCCCCAAGACTGTCCGTGGTGGCCAATGGAAACCTGAACACTGTTGGGAATCAACGTGGGCGATGACCCAGTCTGGCCAAGCCCCAAGGAGACCCCTGATGGCTGCTCAGGGTCACCTGGTTCCTATTCCTCTGAACTCCAGAGCCTGGGAGAGAGGAAGGGCTGGATCCAGGGTGTTACTGAGATGTCCCGGGAGGAGTCCAGGACCACTTCTTCCCAGGAAAGGGTCAGGTATTGGCTTGGTTACAAATTCAGGACTCAGACAGCCTACTCCACATTCCACACACATATACACATCTGCTGTGAATCTCCCAAATTGGCCAAGGTACGCTGTTTTCCATTCCATCCAGCAATATTTGTGAGAAAACCCCAGAGCTCTGGTAGCCTTGGCCACCCTTCTGATAGGAGATAGCTTAGGGTAGCCCTCCAGAGTCTTAGAAGGGAGGCCTATCTTTCTGCTGAAGCCCTATCTAGACAGGACCCACTGATCTCTAGTCCACGGAGCCTCAGGAAGCCAGTTTTGAAGCAAGCAAAGCCTGCATCACTGTACACTCACTACAGGCAAACAGCCAGGCACCTATGCTCAATCCAGCCCTGGCTCCCCCAGCACAGGTCCAGCCTAGCCCACCTCTCCCTACTAGCTCCCAATAATCCCTAGTACATTCTCTTAGACAGCCTCAGGTCTTCAAAACTCCAAGCTTTCACATGCATTTGAGTCCTGCATATACCTAGACTCTCCTTCCCACCTCTTCCTTGGGTGATCTCGCCTCAGCCCCCAATGTCTGCTTGGATGCTCAGCTCCAGGGAGCTTTCCCAAACACCATCTTAGTCCTGGACGCCACTCTCTGGGCCTGTCCTGATTGAGGCCCTCTGTTCTGCTTTTCTGTCATTTGATGAGTGCCCCAGATGCTTCCCAATGGGACCAGAAGCTCTGGGGTGGAGCCTTCAGATGGCCACTGAGGCCACAAGAGTCAGCCTGGGTGAATGAACACCAGTAAGGCAGTGATGCCCAGGGCCCCCGGGAAAGCTGAGAAGCCACTCCTGGGAGGAGAAACTGGACTGAACGCCCCCTCTCTTTACCCTCATCTTTATCTTCCTGCCCCTCCAGTCTCCCAGGCAGAGAAAAGGAAACCACAAAGACCTGGACACAGCCGGAAGATGGCCTTTTCACCTCAGCCCCAGCCTTCCAGCTCTGTGTGGGAACTCAATACAGTCAATGAGCAACAACGGGCCAAGCTCCAGTCCCTCTGGAGGGCAAGCCATGAGATACCACTGCAGACAGAGGCTGAAGGCTAAAGGGGGAGCCTGAGACCGCCTCTGACTTTCCAGATGCCCAATGTTGGAACCCTTTTGCCCCTGGGTCCCTTCACTACCCCTGTTAGTTTCAAACATCTCGTGACCAGGAGCAGGGCTGGGGCCTACAGTACCCCAGCAGGATACAGAACCAGCTTCTTTATGTGTACATGTGTCTGTATGTATGAACATCTCTGTGTGTGTATGTATCTCTCTGTGTATGTATGTATTTCTCTGTGTGATGTACATCTGTGTACGTGTGTGAGATGGTCAATGTCCTGTGTCTTCTTGTTTTGTGTGCTACCTGATTTTCTAGACAGTATCTCTCACTGATTTGGCCAGACTGGCAGCCAACAAGCTCCAGAGATCTTCCTGCCTCCACCCTTGCCCCCAGCTCACCAAATGGCTAGACCAACTGGCCAGGAAGCTCCAGGGACATCTTCTCCTTCAAGTGCCAATGTTACTGAGCACTGCTGGGCGTCTGAACAAAAGCCCTCACCTTGCACAGCAAGCACACGACCAACAAAGCCTTCTCCCCAGCCAGCCCTTGCGGCTTTTTTTTTTTTTTTTTTTTTTTGTGAATGAACCTTCAGCGAGGCTTCCTGCAGTTGGTCACGCCCTGCTGCTCTGCCCTGACCACTGTATAACTCCCAGGGGACAGACAGCAGAGGGAACTTCAAAACGAAAGTGTGAGTCACACTGAAGGAAGGACAAAATGAAAAGGACATTCTTCAGTTTCTAGAGGCTCCACTTCAGGGCCCAGGACCCCGGGCCTCAGGAATGGCTCTGCAAACACGACCTGGTCAGTGCACTGGTCCTTCGACCCTCCAGCTGCACACGGACAGGGAAGGGCTGCCCACACCCAGTCTCTGCCTGGGGCATTTGGCAGGAGTGGCTAGGTGTCCTCGCAGTTGGGCTGCATTTATTCCCTGCATATGCGAGCAGTTAAGTTAGTAAACAATCACAGCCACAGCGAGCCAGGTGACAGCGCTGGTCCAGTCAGGCAGGGGGCAACAGAACCAGGGCCTTGGGCTGCTGTTGGGGTTACAGTGGGCAGGAAGGAGGCAACACTGAGCCCCCAAGGTGGAGACAGGACTGCACATGGAACAGAGGGCAGGCAGCAGAAGTCTTGCTTGGACACCATAGAACCGCAGATGGTAGCTATGAGAAAGTTCAGCAAGAACAGGACAAGGACTTGGGTCTGCTAGGACACACATAGGGAGGCCCATCAAGGCCTCGCTTGCCTTCAGAGCCCGGTATTGGCAGGGCAGAAAGGAAAGCCACTGTGTGCTTTGTAGACTTTGGGGAAGTCACAGCCTCCTCTTGCTTGGGGTGGGGGGAGAGGCAGGAAACCCCCTCCATCTAGGCGTCTGCCAGAGCACCCGCAGGCTTCCTCTTGTCTCAGCTTCCCACCTCCCCAGAGCCTCTTCCCCTCAAGAGCCTCCCTCTCCTGGCCTGATGTCCCTTTAAAGGAACTTGAATCAGAGTTTAGAATGACAGTGACTCAGAGTGGAAGGGGTGGTCACTTGCACTGGCCAGTCACCAGGACTGCAGCGCGAGAGGAAGCAGAGCAACCACAGCTGCCTGTGTGTGCACCCCTGTGAGGGGCAGAAACCACAGAATCCCATTTGAGATTTCACTACGTTGGAACTTGTATGATGAAGTTACCCCTCACAATGGGGGCATTCAGGGCCCACCCGCGCCTGCAGGGCTGGGGCCTGTTCCTCGAGCCAGCTGATGGTGATGTCATCTTCCGTTAGGAGGTCCCCCCCCCCAACCCCGTTGACTAGGGACTTAAAAAAATGCACCAGGAAACTCAAGCGCAAGCCAGAACGGAAGCCTTGGTTTTATTTATAGTTGATAACTTACGTCCGGCTTGCTCCACGGGATTCAGAGTCTGAGGATAAAGAGCCCACAGGGGCAGATGACAGAAGGGCTCGTGTTCTGGACTGCTGTGCCTTCCAAGAGCAAGTATGAATCTCCGTTCTGAGCTTCCCAGCAGCCAAAGCAAAGAGGGGTCAGAATGCTAGAGTGTGCTATCGTAGAAAGCAGGTTGTGGACCTGGTGCTCGGATGAGCTAAGGCCGTAGATGCTACATTCTCATGGTCAGGACCCCGTGCATCCCTACAGAGCATGTTACAGGCCTGGCTAGATAATAATGATTTTAAGAAAGTGCAAGAGCCTTGCTTCCCTTCCTGAGCACATGGCAGACATCACTAATAGATTGCAGCACTCTTTTCCCTCACCAGTCTTTGCCTCAGAATTCTGTTCCACACAGTTCTCCAAGGAATACGACCAAAGGCCAATAAAGAGCTAGAGAGTGCTGAGTTTGTCCTCTGGGCTTGTGATCAGCTGAGAAAGTTCTGGGAGGGCCCATTCGGGGACATTCCT